CACTAAATTTCAGTTAATATTAATGTAAATCCAGGCAAAAAGGAGCAGAAGAAATGAAATCTCTTCTGTATCCCCAATACTGAAAATAACCTTATCCAGTCGTGCAGATGGGATGATGGTTTGCATTTTCAGTCACCCCTACATAAAACCCAGAGTCTGCAAAATGGCCTTTACAAAAAGTTGTGCATGATGAAATCAGGATGATGAAATTTTTACATTATAAAATGCTGTCAGATATAGCTAGAATAATAATTTTATAAATTATCAAAGTCTTTGATTAAAGGTGTTATATATAGTTGAGAAAGGTAAAAAAATTATTCTACAGTTAGATGAAAAAGTGTCCTCTTATAACAAACATAAAGAGCAGTTGCTCAGGCATGGACCAGACCCTCTGGCATTCTTTATGAATATTTCCTGGAAGTACTGGTGTCAGTGTCTGGTCAGTGCAGCTATAAATGTATTTAAATATTTAAATGTAGAATAGAAGAAGCATTTTCTACCTTAAATTTGTCATGGATATTTTTGGCATGAATTTCTAAAAAACAAGAATCATGGATCTTGTCAGGATATGAGCATCATAGGGAAAGGTAGAGAGGTTAAAAATGTTCAGTGGCTTGCACTCCTARCACTTGCTCTGAATCCTAACTTCCAGGTAAATATTCATAAATGCATTAACCACAGGTCTGACAATTTAGAGGCTCTGCTCTCCTTGAGTCTCCAGATATATCCTGTCCTAGAAGTCTCTCTAAGCAACAACAAAAACAAGAAAATAACAAGAACTGACACTTTTAGGACATCACATGGTTCAAGCAATCATAGAAGGGTGAATGCCATTCTGCACCTATAGCTTTCAAAATGYTTTCACTTGTAGGCAACACAGGGCATAGGGCATATAAATCAACATTCAGCCATTTTTCAGTATTTTCAAGCTTATTTTTCAGTATTTGAATAAAGAGCCACTATTTTTCAATTCACTTGGACATTACCTTCACATCTCAGACATCCACACTAACCAAAAGCTTCATCTTTGCAGAAGAGCTCAAACAATGTTTTTAATGACCCTCTCTCTTATAAAAAAAAAATTCAATACACTTTTTTTCAAGTCGTCTACCTGTCTAGTCGGTAAAATCCTACACTTCATTGTAGACAAAAGGAAAAGTATAGCCCTCTTGTTACATAACAGTATTAATATGGCAGAATATTCAATCAGGGCAGAAAAGGAACTAGCCGAGGAACAAACAAAATTCCTCCTCCAGCAAGCATAACAAGTCTGAGAAATTGCCATCTATAAATTTATTATCAAGGGAAAGAGTACAATGAGTTTCCATAGAAAAAAAAATCTAACCACTCCAGCATCACAACAGTGAACATGACAAAATCAAATTTAAGTTTTCAAAAGTTAAAAGTTTTAGGAGAATGTAAGTCTTCAGACACAAGAGACTTAAAGTCATGATTGATGTGATGTAAATGCTGTGTAATTCCAGCTCACCATAATACAAGGGCTGTTTGCACAATTTTTTCTGAGGTATCTGATGCTGACTACAGCACTGAACTGGGGTCTGATCCAGCCTGACAGTTTCTGTGTCTCTTTGCACTTAACAAGGTAGAGCTAAAAATACAATAAAAACCAAACAATGTAGAGACATTCCTGGTGATCCATTACAGAGACAGTTTTCAAAAGAACAAGTTTTTCCTTTTTTTTTTTTTTTCACATTAAAATTAAATCCCTAATCATAGAAAACATACAAACCCACTCCTTTTGTTTTCCCTTACAGTTTTCTGCTGCAGTCATTACTAATGCCTTTGTTTAGCAGAAGTCGGCTGGAACCGAGAAAACAGGAGCTAACCTGCTGCTCCTCTGATCTGGGTGTCCAAAGAACAAGGATCTGTTGCAGTCATTGGCTTGCCACCTGCCTGAGGCATTCAACTGTATCTAGCACAATGATGCTGGAAAGCATTCATGAGTAAATACACAATAACATTTGTATGTTTACAGCTTCTGTGAAAGGTGTGGGTAGGGCGATTTCTCTACTGTGTGTTTCCAGAGCAAGTCAAACCCATTAATTAAAGTCATGCTCTTGTCCTGCGTCAAAAGTGAAAACAGACAAGATTTATGGGCACTGACAGCTGCAGGAACCAGGAGCTGGTTTTGCTCACTCCCTCTCCTTAATTAATTTTGAAGCATCTGGATAGATTGATTTCTCATATGAAAGGCTGCACATCCTCAGTTTTTACAGAGGAAGAAAAAGAGCTGTTTCATGCAGAGTACTGTCTGTCATGGTTTCTCAGGGCTGGCTGAACAATGTCTACTGAAATTGTGTACCGCAACATCCCTGTGCCTGCCCAAGCAACTTGTAGGATAAAACTTTAAGAGGTCCCAGTCATAAAACATTTCTTATCCAGTAACTATTTTATTTGTCCTAAAACCAAAAACTCTAAAATGAGAAAGCAGCACATTCAGAACATTGTAATCCACAGCAACAAAAAATATTTTCTGGTAACAGACTAAGGGAAATTGCCACAAACACTTCCTTCTAGAGGGAATATCAATATCTCTATATTGCCACAGCACATAATGATATACACAAACACAAATATAGAGCAAGACCCCAGTATATTTATTTCTTCTTCTAGGTTCTTTAAACAGGAGGCAGATTGCTAGACTTTGGGACTGAAAGCTGGAGATAAGCAATCAGAAGACATTTAACACTCCAGCTAGGAACAGGAAACTGTTACAGAAGTGGAAAATTTTGGGCACTGAACTTTCACCCTTGGCTCCTGCGAGATTTTTACCAATAAAGAGCTATATGAACGTAGACATTGGATATATTGACATTGGATCTGCTGCCCAGCAGAGCCATATGCTGCTGCTGGAGACACAGTTGATAAAGATCAAAGCTTCCTTTGCATCAATGAGCTAAACCTGGGTGTTATATATTTGATACCATGTTGTTGATCTRTATTGACTTATACTGACAGTGAAAGGCTGGGCCAAAAGAACTCTGGATCTCTCTATCAATTATTTTATGATTCCATTCAACACTTAGTAAAACGTACAGCTAATTTATTTTGTTGTGATTCATAGCCCAGGCAGCAGAAAGCCTGCCAGGAACAAGGATATTACCATCTAAAGCAGCTCATGATGACCAGATACCAGGAAGAAGTAGAAAGAATCCAGCATAGCCTGTAAAAGTGGTGAAGCAAACAGAACATAAAACTKTTTTTGCCAGTGACTCAAAGGGGCCTCACTAATAGATGACTGTAACTAAGAACCTCTCCCTAGACATGAATGGGCACATGATAATGGATTACAGAATCAACCAAACAGACAACACGAACCTAAGGTACCTTAGCTAATAGAAAGATAATAATTCTTCATAAAACTCTTTTGCAACTCACAAGACCATAAAGCTCTTTCTAAGAGCCTTTTTTCAGCTGYGGATCAAGATCTCTCCTTTCAGCARCTTGTTTTTACCACTCAGGAAACAACCTGTGCCTTTTCATTTACTGATGAGGTTCTTCACAAACCAGGGAGATTGGTCAGATGTCAAAGAATTGTCAAACAATGTTCATTAATGTTAACTGGTGAGTTGTGTCTTACCTGTTAACATTCTTCATGTTGTTGGTGACAATTTACAAGGAGTAATGTGATGACAGAATTCAAGAGCCGACATACTGATGTATTAAAAAAAAATTAAATTCAAGAAGTTTTGATAGAATAACTAACCTCGACAAGATTATTATTCCTACGTACTTTTTTGTAAAGAAAACTGACTACTCATTTCTCTTCCTTCTCAATTCCCTYAGTTTACCTAAGACAACTGTAGTTACCTATGTTTTCTTCTTCACATCCCTATAGAGCTTTAGAGAGAAGTATGCAGTTTGACAGTTGGAAGATTATTTCTTCACTCCAAGCATTCATARAAACAATTCAGAATTTTCAAATTCAGCTTTGATTTCCCAAAACTGCTCCCTTTCTTGAACTTACAACAGAATCTTAAAGGCTTTGGATAGACTCCTAGCAAGGTTAACCAAAGTTTCCATCAAAACTCAGTGAGAGCATATCAATACAACCAYATGTAAATAATTACAGTGAAACACATGGGCACAATCGCAAAGAATGTATGGAAATCAGGGATTTGTTTCACTGAAAATGAAATTGTGATCAAGAATTAAATTCATCAAAAAGACCTCCAAAAAAAGTTATTGAACAACAGACTTTGCAGCAGGGGAAATATTTGAATGGTACCACAAAGGCTATTAGAGAAGGGAAGGGAACTGTGAGGGGAATGCAAACCTCAGGGTGTTTAAATTAAATAGGCAATTAAAACCACCATTGATAGCTAAGCATTTTCTGAAACTCTCAGGGACAGCATAGAATTCTAACACTTTTTACCAGCAAAGGAAAACAAGTAGTGTACAACCAACTGATCTTAAGCTCAGTTTGGAAGACCAAGTTATAATTTCTGGAGAGGAAAAGTTAAGCCCTGTATTGTTTGAGTAAAATCTGTTAGTTGTCTTTGATTCTTAGGGTGAGGGAGACTTTCCTTATGAACAGTTCTGGTCTAATTCACACATTATAGAAAGAGACGTTCTGTGTGGTGCTAGAAAGGTGGGAGGTCCTAATAGAGCAGGACCACAGGTGGGTCAGAGTGATAGCTGTCCAGCCTGCTCAGAGAATGTAGCACCTCATGCACRCTTCCACTTCCAGTGGAGGACAAACACAACTTTTAAAACCAAAAGCCTAGAAAGAGATTCAAGAGCAGCACAAGAAGGTAACTAGGGACATAACTGCTCAGTGTCAGAAAGGTTAATTCTGTCCAGCATGAAACACACCCAAAGTCTGAAGTGCACCTATGGTCTATGCCAAAGCAGGTTTAAAATATTTAATTTTGATTTTGATTTTATGAATTTGAGATAACATGTTTTTTAGCAATTAAATGAGATGGAAAATGCTAATATGATCTTCTGAGAGYCTAATGATTTTGTTTGAATTCCAGGTTATTTTGGAATGTGAAAACTACTTGCTGTTTGGATCCATGACAATCATGTAGATGMAATTCACTTGCTTTAACAATCTCCAGCACCATGGTAAGCCATTTTCCAAAGACTGAGTCTCASTGGAMATTGTGTTGTGCAATAAGCTGGGGTGACTAGGTGTATAAGGCTTCATGTTTCTGTCTCAGAGTAATACAAAATCTGTTAAAAAGCATAAGCAAGAAGCAAGTAGGACATGGCAACATACCTTGATTTATGAACACTGTTTTACACGCCAGACAAGTATTAAGYTTCCCAGAATATCTCAAAAAGGATGTTGCTAAGCAAAGATCATGGTAAAAAGAGTATTTAATTAAGATGTCTGAATGTAATTTGTAGGACTAACAGCCATGCTCCAAACTATCACCACCAAGCAGAAGAGCAAAAAAGGTCCAACCACAATGAAAAAAGATATTTTTTACTCAAGTTTCAGTACAAGTAGAGAATGGTTTATGCCTAATCCYATCTGRCAATGAGAAAATTAATTATTGTCTCAATGTCAGTATCTACACTTACTTTTCCATTAAATATACATCACTTGAGACTGAGTTTTTAGCAGTTGTTTTAACATTATAGGCAAACAGTTTCACTAATGTATTGGCTCTCCTTTTCCTTAAAGGAATATAGATGCACTCTACTTTTAGATCATAAGCCAATTACGCACATCAGATAGAAGTTGACAATCAAATCTGTTATCATTGAACACAACATAATGAGTAAATTGACAACTTAACAACAGCTGTGACTTCCAGCAGCTCTCCTTCTTGGCACATTCATTTTCAATTTCTAGGGAATTATAGGAGATGCAAAAGAAACAAAAATCCCAACAAAAAATGAAAGGCAAACCCTAACCTACTGCTTCAAAATTTGTTGAACGGACAAAAGGAATATACAGAATTTAAGAATGCACTTGAAGGTTTAGTTAAACACATTACCTCTTTTGAAATTGTTAAATGAAATCTGCATCCTTTAAAAACTGAACTACAGATTTTATTTTTCAYTTTGCTTTTATTGTATTCGTAAATGCTTAGGCCATGGCTTACACAAAATAAATAAGGATGTCAAGACAGAATTACACTGCAAGATTATTAGAGATCAGAAAAAAAAGTGAAAGGAGGAATCTTCTTAATAATTAATAATGATAGTTATATTGATGCCTTAAAGACCCTAGAAATGAAACAACACACTTTCAAGATAATATAGGAGATAATATAAAAGCTGGTTTTTACTAGAGGCCTCTGGGGCAAATGTGGAAAAAGGTCCACACCAGCCCACCCCCAAAGGGGAAATACCCAAGGTCCATACAAGCCCACCCCCAAGTTTTATAGGTTTGGCAAATCAGCATATTTGACAAGAATTCCCAATTAGAAACACAGGTGATGAGGTAATTCCCCCTTCTGGTTCAACCCTTTCCTGGAGCCTCCCCTTGGTATCAGCTGTACTTTGTTTATGAAAATATGTGTCTG